GTGGGAGAAAAGGTAGGTTAAAAAGAGACCAGTATGACAGTAATAGCTGGGAATGATCACGCTGGACATGAACTGAATGTTAAAAGATGGTAAAGGGATATTTTTGATAACCTTTCAGTCTCAATATAGCAAACCACAATGCCCTAAAAGGGGAGGGGGAAGAGAGAGAGAGAGAGAGAGACAGAGAGAGAGAGAGAGAGAGAGAGAGAGAGAGAGAAAGAAAAGTTCCTGCCATAGAGGCAGGCAGGGGTTGCGGGGTGGGGGTGATGAGAGGGAACCTGGGGACACTGGTGCTGGGAACTGTACACTGGTGGAAGGATGGGTGTTGGAATACTGTAACACTGAAATCCAGCCATGAGCAGCTTTGTAAAAGTTCATCTCACAGTGATTCAATATATTTTTTATAAAAGAATAAGTTTTATTCCTTTCATTGTAAATACAGCATGCAGAGTGAATTGAGCAGGAAAATTCTGTTCTTGTGCCTCAAGCACTAGATCTGATATGTTGCCTGGTGACTTATTTGGTATGCTAGACTGCCTGCTAATGTTTACCACTTATAATTAAGCACAATGTTACACTTAACTTTTATAATTCCAGCTGTTTGGAATGTCAGCAGGTATGTATGTGGGACTTCAATTTACCAGCAGGCTCATTGGGAGAAAGCAGCAGTAGAAAGAAAGAGGGTAATAGTGTCACCCCATGTGTAATTGGCGCTTCTTCAAGTGGCTGACACTTGCTGGCATCCACATTGGGAGCCAGGCCAGGACTGCAGATGAAGCACAAGGATGCTTGGAGTGAATTGCTCTTCAGCTAAATAAAGGGTGCTCTGTTTTGAGAAATAAAGCAGATAATCAGTTGACAATGATTATCTGTATTGGCTGCTGGTGTTCCAAATTTATATCTCAAAAAGTGCGAACTGTACACTTAAAGTTGAATGTTGGCAATAGAGTGAGAAAACCATTATATGCCCCCTCTTCTAAGATAGGTATATTCTTCGACTTATATGCATATATGCCCCAGAATTCAAAAACAGTGTCTAAATACGTCTCAGAGGTTGTAGATATATGCCAATCACGCTGGTGTGAGATGATGTCTCACTGTTTTGATTTGCATATCTCATGATAAGTGATGCATAGCATTTTTTCATATGCCTTTTGGCTCTCTGTATGTCTTCTTTGACAGGTTTCTGTTCACCTCTAACCCCCATTTTTTATGGGCTTCTTGTTCAGGTTTCTTTTGTAGCATTCTGTTAGTTCTTTTTATATCAATATATCTGCACACTACTCATCAAAGATCAACCCTTTACCGATAAGTGGCAGGCAAATAGCCTCTCCCAGTCTGTGAGTTGTCTTTTAATCTTGCTGTCATTTCCTTTGCAGTGCAAAAACTTCTTACTTTGCTGTAATCCTGCTTGTGTATCTTTGTTTCGGTTTGCTTGGCCAGGGATTCTGAGACATTGAAGATATATCTGGTTTCAATATCATGAAGTATTTGGTCTATGTTTTCCTCAATGTAATTTATGGACCAAAGTCTTATATTGAGGTCTTTAATCCATTTTGATTTGACTTTTGTGGATGGTTTCAAGAAGGGACCTGAGTTCATTTTTCCCCACGTGGCTGACAAGATTTCCCAGCACCATTTGTTGAAAAGGCTTTCTTTGTTGACTTCATATTTTTTGCTTTTTTATCAAAGATTAACTGTCCATAAGGAACCCTCATTCTCTGCTGATGGGAATGTTGACTGGTTCAACTCTTTTTGAAGACAATATGGACACTTCTCAAAAAAATAATCATTAAGCTTCCCAGCCGTTCCATGTCTGGGCACCTACCCCAAGGTCCAAAAACTAAATTTAGGAAATATATCTACTACTATGTTCATTTCTTCACTATTCACAATAGCCCAACAACCTAAGTGCCCAAGGTCTGATGACTAGATAAAGAAACTGTAGTACCTATATACATAGTGGAATACAACTTGACTATAAGAAAAAAAAATGAGATAATGAAATTTGCTGCCACGTGGGTAGAGCTGGAGAGTATCATGCTGAATGAAGTTTGTCAGAGGAGAGGGACAGACACAGAATGATCTCTCATATGTAGGACTTGAAGAAACAGAATAGGGATTAATTAATGCCCCCTGAAAAACAGAAGCTGAGAAAATGTCTTTAATAGGAAGCTTACCTATTAGAGGGAAGGTGGTGGGAAAGGGCACTTGGACAATGGCAGAAAGAAGTGGAAAGCTGAGTGGAGGGTGGATGCTGGAATATTTCATGCATGAAACCCTTCTAATAACAGTTTGCAAATCACAGTGCCCAAAATATAAGTAAATAAATGTTATAGACTTTTTGGGTCATACTTCCTCTGACTTGAGAAAGAGAATGGTGCTGAGACTGAGGTTACAGTGTGGTAAATTCTTCCATATAGTATAACTCCGAAAGGGAAGAATGTTAACACGTCCAGCTCTTGAAATAGGATCTACTTAATCCGTTTTTACTCCTGTACCTGCTTGCTTTGTTTATACCAAGTTCTAGTTACTGAAGTACTCGTTACTTGGATGGGAGCCAAGTACTCTTCAGTTCTGGCTGTGCCCAGAGTTGAGACAGCTCAAGATCACTGTGAATAAACCCAGAGAAAGACACGAAGAAAGCGACATGGAGGCAGAGGCACCTCACAGGGCTGTGAGCTCAAAGCATGCAATCTGTCTCTGCTCGCTCTTCACACCTTCAGCAACTGCAGCAGAGGATGTGCACGAGTAGGCAAGTGAAGTGGGCCCTCCCGTTAAAGAGGCTCTTTGTGAGAGATGTACTTTCTGGTCTTTGATTATTCTATCTCAGTGTAGAATTAGGAGCGCTTGCACAGATGACACTGGAGACCAAAGAATCTTAGCACAGTGACAACAGGAAGTCAGGAGATTTGGGTTAGGAGTTTCCCAGAGCATACCAGGAAACATGAGCGTATTCAGTTATGAGTTGCAACTTCCACAACATAACTTGGAAGAAATTTGAAGAAATACACATCATCCTGCAACCAAGTACTCATCTGTTCAAGTGTATATTGAACCAAAACCCGAGTTTCACAAAATCTTATATATCATATTCTCATATATCCCAGTGTCACTGGATATGTCATTCCAGAAACCTTTCCTTAGCATACGATGTGTGACAGCCATTTTATAATCTTGTTTATTATATTTATTATCTTGCAATTTCTGCAGCTAACAAATTGTCTCAGCACCACAGTTGTTGGTCCTTTGCTTTGGAGCTCATAAAACTGAAAACATTGTCAGTAGTTGTCTCCTCATCAAAATCTTGAGCTAAACCTGAAGAATTGTTCAAAATATCACTGTATCACTGTATCACTGTTATCCCATTGATTGTCAGATTACTCGAGCGGGCACGAGTAATGTTTCTATTTTAGGTTTTAGCAGCCTCTTCTTATCTATCTTTTCCCAATGATTGGAGGATCTTTCAGGGTCAGGGGAATGAGATCTGTTGTCGTTACTGTATTTCGCATATCGAATATGCCACGGGGAGCTTGTGAGGCTCTGCCCGTGTGGGCAGGATACTCTTGGTAGCTTGCCAGGCTCTCAGAGAAATATGTTCAAAATATGGAAGAGTTTATTTCTCTGTAGTAGTAGGGCTAAGATCTTGGTTTCCTTGAAAGTATCTGGAGGTAACACCTGGCCTGTGACCTCTGTGCTTGATGCCAGTCCTAAGCCATAAAGGCAGCTGCTTCTTCAAAGCCAGCAGAGACCTCCGCATACATCAGTAGTCTTACACATAAGCTTAATCTTATGCACATTACTTAATACAACTTCAGTCATGTCGAAATCATGGGATTGGTATGTGACTATCCATCATAGTTGTAGGATCCTCCACACTCAAGAGGAGGGATTGCAATAGGCTGTGTATTCTGGGGACAGGAGTCCTGGAGTACTCCTGTCCTTTGAGTACTCAAAGTACTCCTTTGCGTTATGTCTTCTACGTTATCACATTGATCAAGACTCTGATCTAGTTTCTAAGGACTCTTCATGAAATCTTGATTAGAAATAGTTCTGTCTCTTTATTTATAGATTATGGTATGAAATCTACTGTATTTATCCTAAAAGCAAGAAATCCTTGGGGCCAGGTAGGATGCTTAATTTAAACTCAGTTCATCCCCAGCAGGGAATCACATAGATTCTTCCAAGCCCTGCCAGAAGTGCACAGAACCAGGAATAAGCCCTGAGCACTGCTAGGTATGGCCCAAAAATATACAAACAAAAAAAGGCAAGAAATCCTATAACTCCCTAGAATATTTCCTCTCTCTGTCCACCTATTTGCACCAATATGTACACATATACAGAGGCATGAGTGTAGCCACAGAGCCTGTGTGGCTGGATGGAGAGACTGTGACACCAGTTCCCCGAAATAGCATTGTATTGAGTGGTACCAGACACTGCTCTCGTCTCAGTGACTCACCCCTAATTCTGCTGCTTAAAATAATGTCTTCACTGATTATCATGGAGATGCTGATCAAAAAACTCTGATAAGATACATCTCTCTCTCTCTCTCTCTCTCTCTCTCTCTATCTATCTATCTATCTATCTATATACATATATATATATATGTATATATGTATCAGAGTGTATTAGACCTAGAGATTAGACAGACTCACTTTGTGGCCTGCCTGGACTTGTCCATGCTGCAGATCTGGCTTGAGCGCTGAGCGGGTCAGCAGTTTGGTTCCTTACTGGTTTTTTACTTCACTTTGGTTGCAGAGCTGGCAGACCTTGCCTGGCACCTCCTCAGAAAGCGATATTGTACGTGTGCACATGGGGATGGGAAGCAACCATGGTGTGCTTGGCTCCCTCTGACAGGACCCTCTCAGCACCTTCTGTATGGGCTACAGACCAACAGTGGTCTACTCTGCTCATCTAATCATGGAAATCTACCTGTCCCAAGGAGTGGGGTGCCTTCCTCTGACCTTGTCCCTGACCAGCCTGCACTGTTCTCTCCACAGATGCCGCCCTTACGAGGACTGCTGTGGCTCCAGGTGCTGTGTGCGGGCCTTATCCATACAGAGGCTGTGGTATTTTTGGTAAGTCACAACTCTCAGGTCTGGATACCTTGCTCCATCCTCAGTCTATATTGTCATGGCTGCAGTTGCTTCATCACTTGAAGGCTTGGCCTTGGGGATAGCCTTGGTCAAGAGAACAGGAGCATCCAGGTTGACTTGTGAGAAGCCAGTGTTGCTCATGATTTAGAGGGAGGTCTTCCCATGCCCAGGAATTGCAGCTGGAAGAACAATTCTTTTGTATGTTTGATTGCTTTGGGAGTCTCAGGGGTCATACCCTGCATTGCTCCTGGCTCTGCACTCAGGGATCACTTTTTATGGTGTCCATGGGATCTCAGGAGGTGCTGGGGATCAAACTCAGGTGTGATGTCCTATCTCTGCAGCCCCAGAACAGCTCTTTTCTTTTTTTTTTATTAATGTTTTATTAAGGCACCAAGATTTATAAAGTTCTTCATAATAGAGCTTCAGGCATACATATACTAGCGTTAGTTCCATCATAGTGTCAACTACCTTCCACCTGGAGCGATAGCACAGCGGGTAGGGCGTTCGCCTTACAAGCGGCCAACATGGCCGACCCGAGTTCAATTCCTCCGCCCCTCTCGGAGAGCCCGGCAAGCTACCGAGAGTATTCGATATGCCAGACACAGTAACAACAAAGTCTCCAATGGAGACGTTACTGGGCCCGCTCGAGCAAATCGACGATCAACGGGAGGGCCTTTACCTTTACCTTTACCTTACCTTCCACCTGGGTCCCCAGGTTCCCTCCCACACCCCTAGTCTGCCTCCTGGGCAGGCACATTTTTAAGTTTGGGTGTTGTAGTTTGGATCTCCTGCTTTTTTTTTTTTTGTCATACCCAGTGTTGCACAGGGGTTATTCCTGGCTCATGTACTCAGGAATTACTCCTGGCGGTGCTCGGGGGATCATATGGGATGCTGGGAATCAAACCCGGGTCGGCTGCATGCAAGGCAGATGCCCTACCTGCTGTGCTATCCCTCCAGCCCCAATTTTGTCTCAGTTGTTTAGATATATACATATACACACCTCTGCACCATCAATAAGACCTCTGCCCCCAACACCCTTCCATGTGCCTCTTCTTATTCCCCCTTAGTTTCTTTCCTTCTTTGTCCTTCTCATTTCTGTAATATAGGATTAGGAGTGATCTAGATTTACCACCCTCATTGTTTGATACCTTGCATTCCCTCATCCACCGATGAGGGAATTTGTATTCTACCGATAATTTGTATTCCACCGATAATTTGTATTCCACCGATAATTTGTATTCCACCGATAAGTAAAATAATCTGGTGTTTGTCTTTCTTCTTCTGACTTGACTTAACATGAGACCCTCCAATTCCATCTAAGTGTCAATGAATTAATTGCATGGTTTTATCATTACTTGCAGCTGCAAAATATTGTATTTTGTATATATACCATGGCTTCATTTTCTGCTCACTTGTTGCTAGACCTAAGTTTAATACGTAAGCCGAGCTATTGTGCTATATACTGTAATGAGTAATGGTGCCCTTTTGAATGAATTTTTTTGTGTCCTGGAAAGAGATACCTAGAAAATGGGATTGTTGCTTCATTTGGCAGCTCAGTTCTTACTTTATGAGAAATCTCTATACCATTTTCCATACTGGTTGAACCACCATCAGTGGGTGAGAGTTCCCTTCTCACCACATCCTGACTAACATAGGCATTGCTTCCAGTCTTCGTTGGTATTTGTCATTCCCACTGGTGTGATACGGTATTGTCATCTTGGTTTGGGTTTCTCTGCAAATAAGTGACGGTGAACACTTTTTCATGTGTCTATTGACCATCTTTTTGTCTTCAGAGAATTGTCTGTTCACTTCTTCTCCCAATTTCGGGTGGGATTTGAGTTTTTGGTGGTTGGTCTCTGAAGAATAGCTCATCTTTTGGAAGGTGGGTTCATCCTGAAGCAGCTGCTCTGTTGTTTCTGAAATGGAGCTTCCCCAAGCCCCCATTTTAAAAAAATTCTCATTGTTTTTATTTATTTAAAACACCACAATTCATGATACCATTAATGACAGAGTTTCATGCTTCCAATAGTCCACACTGCATGCTCCATCACAGTGCCCACCCTCCTCCACCATTGTCTCAGCATCCCTCCTGTCCACTCCATAGCCACTACCCCCTCAACCCCTGTCCCTGGTAAGCTCAGCTCTGTAGACCAGTTCTCAGGTCATGAAACTTTTGAAAACCAGAGAATTAGCAAATCTCGTGGTCCAGTTTATTTCCATTCAGACTCTGTCGGTTGAATCCTGACAGACAGCCTGTGCCATTGCCCATAAACGGCTCCACGGAAGGAGCTGGTAGAGCCAGGAAATCTAAAATTAAAATACTTTCAGGGAATTTTTGGATACAGAGGTTCCGGTGAGTGGGGGGATCCTCTGTGGATCACCATCTGGGATACATGTTCTCATTTGACTCTAGAAACAAAACATGCTGCTTTCTGCATCAGGGAAAGCCGAGCTGCTGTGGGGATTTGCCAGAAACGAGTGTTTCTGGCACCATCCAGAGCTTCCGCTGCTCTGCTCAGGGCATGTGACCTCAAGGCTGACTCCACAGAGTTATGGCTTCTTTAACTTCACTCCTTCAGCTGCCATGCAGCTTCAAGGTTCTGACATTACTGACTTCTGAGAACTTTAGACCTTGGCTGAGGATGTTCCAGTAGTCACCTGTGTTTTTCCCTCCTGATAACTCTCACCAGTTTTTGATGAGGGGAACTATCCTGGGGGATTCTGCAGGCCAGAGCTTCCTGCTCTGGGGGTCTTGTCATCGTTACCATCACCCATGCCCTGGTGGTCATTGGGCATGTGCATGGCTGAGCTCTCCCATCTCAGGCAATCCTGGCCTGACCAGTCTAGCCGTCTGAGGCATCCCTGGTTCAGTATCACTACTTGGAGCATGGCCGTGCCTGATTATCTCACCACATAGTTGCTAATACCTAAAACTGTTTTTTGAAAAAGTGTTTGGGGTTTGTTTTGTTGTGGCTAAGATCTCTACATTTCAGGCTTAGAGAACTAGTACCAAAAGCTGAGGGAGGGGCTGTAGCTGACCGGAAAGGAGCTGGACTGGAGGGCGGGGGCGGGGGTGTGCTTGACTCGTGCAGGGCAGCGTGCCTCTGCCTGCTCAGAGGTTAGTCCTGAGATTTAGGGTGGGATGTGGATTAGCAGGGAGCCTTCCTTGGGGACGTTCGTTTAAGAGCTGCAGATTTCCCTTCAGTGATTCTGTGTCTTAGGTTGTACTAAATTGTACACTAAAAAAATAGTAGTACACTTTGTACTAAATTGTATACTGGAAAAAAATGGTAAAAATAGGGGCCTCAGGACAGCTCAGCGGCCAAGCTCACTGCGGGGCCTTCCCTTCCCCAGGACTCTGCTCAGATGGGGTTTCCTTCCTGTTTCAGCGGGGGAATGTTGTAGCCACACTTGGGGGCCATGTGGTGTCAGGGATGAACTCAGGGTCTCAAACAGGAAAAGCATGTGCTCTGCCAGTCAGGCCGTCCCTACCCTCATAAGGGTTTTTTTAGTCCCCGGGCCTGTTACCCCCAGGTTCCTCTCCCTCTGTGGCCTTTAGCGTTTCCCAGCCTCTCCCCATGCAGTGCTTCTGCCTTTCTCTCCAATCTACCTCCTATACTTTTATCCCCCATGACTCAGCTCAAATGTCACTTTAAAGCAGAAGGTGCGTCTCTCGTCTTCCTCACTATGACATACTCTTGTCATATGCCTTGACATATGCCTTATCCGGGGGGAGGTTGTTTGCCTGACCCATGAACTACCCAGTTCAGTCCCCAGTATATAGTCCCCCAAACCCTTTAGGAGTGATTCCTGAGCACAGAGTCAGGAGGATGCCCTTAGCGCTGCCGGGTGAGCTGTATAAACAAAAGCAAGCAGAAAATGACTTACCTAAAGCCTTTTGTTGTACTAAATTATACACTTAAAAATGGTAAAACAGAAACCAGGGGCCCCAGGGTAGCTCAGTGGCCATGCACCTGGGTTGGACATGTGGAGCACCGCATCCATCCCGGGCACAGCCACACATGGCAAAGGTGCCCCTGCCCTGGTCATGCCATCCTTCTTGCTCCCCTGCGGCATGGAAAGGGTCTGATATCCAGCACACACTGTCTAGAGACCATAAGCCCCACAACTAAATATGTTTGCCTTCTGGTCATCACAATGACTCAAAGAAGGGGAACCTTTTAAGATAATAAAAACAGCATAAAATCGTGTATCATTTACTACACAAATTTTTGCACTCTAGTTTTTCTTCCTTAGCAGTTACTAAAGTCCTATTAAGTTACAAATTTGTAGTTTCCTCCTCCACCACTAAAACTCAAGACTGGTGGTGGGGAGCAGGGTCCCCCAGCTGGGGGAAATGGCCCTGAGTGAGGAGAGGATTGGAAGAGGATTAGTTGTCTCAGCTGAGCTCTATTTTGAATCACTGTGCCTGATGTCTTTGGCCTTCCCTCCTGTTCCGTGTCTGAAGCTACCCAGGAAGTATGCGACATGGGCACCATGTCAGGATTCTTCAGGCCCTGCTGTGTTCTTTCATAGTTTGTTTGTGGAGATAGCGCCTTTGGCCATGCCTGACTTTCTGGGTTCCGTGCAGTTCTCATTGCTCACATGACAGTGTGCTGCTCACACAGAATTGGAAGGTTCCAGGATACCCCTTAAATTTTCAGGTCAGAGATGGGCAAGAGTGTGCCAATCACTGAGAATTTTCTGGCCATGTTCTTTGTAGAGTCATGGTCGGAGGATATTCAGTCATATTTTGAACTTACAGACTTTACTTGGGCTCCCAAGTTGGCCAGTGGATCAGTCATGGCAGTCCTCAGCCAGCTGGGCTGGTGTGCGTGTGTGTGTGTGTGTGTGTGTGTGTGTGTGTGTCTGTCTGTCTGTCTGTCTGTGCATGTGTGTATGTGTGTGAGTGTGTGTATGTTTATGTGTGTGTGTGCCCATGGCAGTGCTGCTTAGCACTGCATTGTCAGGGGTGACCAAGGCTCCCTGATGGTACTTAGGGACTTCCAGGGCTGCACACAGAGATGTTCAGGGGTCTGAGAGCACATAACCTCTGTGCTCTCTGTCCAGCCCCTCCACATAGATAAAGGTATTATTTGCAGGAAGGTTTCTCTGTTTCTTTAGTTTCTCTGTAATCCGGGAAGCCTCCTCATGCGGTGCTCTTGCTTAGGTTCCTCCTGATGATGGGTGTGCTCTTCTGCTGCGGAGCGGGCTTCTTCATCCGGAGGCGCATGTACCCCCCACCACTGACTGAGGAGCCTGCGTTTAATGTGTCCTATACCAGGCAGCCACAGAGCTCTGCTCCAGGTAAGCCACTTCCAGCACTCCTGCCATGTGGCACATTAGAGTTGGGGCATGCGAAGGGGGTGCTGTCACAAAGTATGCCCGGAAGAAGTATTCAGGCCAGGTTTCATCATTTACATTGTGGTTATTAGCTTCATTTTTCATGTGGGGTGCTGGGAACCAGCCCAGGCTACACGCATATGAGACATGCACTGTAGTACTGAGTCGCGTCCCTGATCCCTGGGCTGATGATACATTTTATTCTGCCTTTGTCACGATAAAAAGTACGACTATGGGGTCCAGTATTATAGCAGGTAGGGCGCTTGCCTTGTACACAGCACACCTGGGTTCAATCTCTGGCATTCCACTTGGTCCCCTAAGTACCACCAGAAGTGATCCCTGAGTACAAAGCCAGGAGTAAACGCTGAACACCACCAAGAGTGGCCCCCAAACAAACAAAAAGTACAATGACTATTAGGCTGACTGCCTTTTGACTCATGTTCTTACCTAGTTATTGGTCCATCTTGTATGCATTTATGAAACTTGTGTATGCATATTATTTCCTTTCATTTCTTAAAATCATCTCATATACATTTTGCTCTGAAGAATGTTCCTGATATTTTTTAAGCTTTGGGACTGAGAATTATGTTACCAAGTGGCAGATTACCTAGATATACTTTCATTGTAGATAATTTTTTAATTTATTCATTCTTTCAACAAATATTTATTGTGCATTAGCAAATGCATTAATAAAATGAACCATTAGTTTTCTGAGGACTTATACATATTGCTGCTATAGAAATTTTGACTTATTTGGGGACCATTACCCAAGGTGATGTTTCTGGGTCAAAAGAATTAGTAGTTTCTAAGTTGAAGCCAGCGGAGATGCTGCCCATGAGCACTGGTTTTCAGCAGGAAACCACTCCTGAGGGCCGAGGGCCAGTGAAGAGGCACATCCACCTGGGGGGAGGAGTTGGTGCTGTGAGAGGTCCAGTGTAATGTAATTCCTGAAGGCTGGAATTGCTGAGTATCACCTATGAATCACTGGGTCTGGCCCCAAAACAGCAACCACAAAAAGGTAACTAGGTGAGATGATGGATGTACTGCTAAATTTTGTAATATTGATCAAATCATTGTGTTTTATACCCAGAGCAGGTACAGTGTCATACATCAATTCTATCCAGATAAACTGGGAGAGGGTAATGGGGAGATGTCAAAGCCTCAGCAAATGCAGTGCTGGGGTGGGTGGAGTGCTGGGCCGGGAACAGTCTGAGTGTTTGAGGTGCACATGTGAGGAGGGCTTGGGGGTCAAGAAGATAACGACTATCGACTTCTGCCTTTTTTATGTGGTTCCTGACCTGAGCATTGAGGCTGAGGCTGCGTCCACTGTGGCCAACTGTGCATTAGGCTGTTTTTAGGAAGGGAAGATGGGTAGTACAGAGGGCAGAGAGATGCAGGGAGCAGAGGGGCTGTTGATAAAGCCAGGTGTGCAGCTAACACAGTTTGGATCTCCCCTTGGTGAAAGGAAGTGGCTGCAAGTATCTAAGTCATTGTCTGTCACAGTAGCTGCCAGGAAAGCAGTGAGTGTTGAATGCAGAGCTGGGTGGAGAGAGTCTGCGAGCCCAGAGTCCACGCAGACCATACCTGATGCAGGACATTCTCCTGTGCCCGCCAGGAATGTTCTCATCTGCTCTTGCCCTGTCTGTCATCCTTCTCTGAGCAGCCCTTTCTGACACCAGCCTAGATTCTCCCACTCGAAGACTACTTAGAGCCACTGTGCCTTTGTGATCCAGTCCACGTCGTAGGTCATGGGTATTTCTCTGGCCTATGGAAGTGCACAGGTTTCTCCCACCTACTGTTCCTGGTTCTTTTGAATAATAACAGATAATACCTGTTGCAGAAAGTGGAACCCAAAGGGGAAGGTGCTTTCTTGGCTAGCCCTGACTTCACTGGGGCAGGGAGGGACATTTTTATTCACTGTCCCATTGTTGGGCAGTTGATATTATTAATTTAAGCAAAACTAACAGCTTTCACGTCTTTAACCTTTAATCAGTGGGAGCAGAAACTTTTGGCCCATCTCCGTCCTTTGTGCCAGAGAAAGTTTCATATAATCTGGGTATCTAGGCATATATATCCTAAATTTATTTTTAAACAAATACTTTCACAACCCACCCAATAAGAACCTAGGGCTTAGAGCAACGGACAGTTGCCTCCCAAACCTCTTACTGTGGATTTTTGTCCCTACATGCATCTGATCTGGTGGTGGGAGGTGGGGGGAGGGTCCCTGCCTCTGGGCTCCAAACTAGCGCAGAGTCCAATAGTAAGAAAAGCATGGAAGCATTAGATTCTAGAGTCTCATCCTTTCCCTTTCATTGAACACATTCAGATTGCCGGAAGAACTCCAAGGGGAAAGGTGGGGGGACAACAACAAAAAGAAAAATGCACTTGAAGATTTTTCACTGCCTTTTACTTCTTCAGTTTATCCTTAATAAATTTTGAGTTCCTCCAATGAGTTTTCTCTTCTTTTAGAATACTTTTAATGTCTCGAGGAGGTATTTCTAAACAAGTTGAAATGATGTTTTTCATTCACTGTTTGGTTGTGTTCACATTGTCATCCCTGCTCTTTGTGGAGGACAGCTGCTGATGGAATGGTGCATGGGTAATTATAAAGGTTATCGTTGCTGTTGAAAATGAGGGAAGTTCGACAAGGGGCTATAGCTAGCACAGATTTTTCTTTTCATTTTAATGCCTTATGGTTTATCACAAGCAAAAAGCAGAGGAAGATCAGAAAGCCATAAGACCTGAGTGGGTTGCCGGAGTTCTTCTGGTCATGCCTGTTGCCCAGCTCATAACTGGCCTTTTGCTCCATGTCACATCTCAGACTGGATACTGGCTAGTTCCCAGAGCTGCACTTACCACATGAGGTAGCCATGCCATCTTTGGCCAACTCTGCCCAATATTTTTGCCTTTGAGGCTTCTACAAACTAGAGATACTAAAATCATTTGGTAGAAAGAGGGAAGAGCATGCTGTCCCCAATTTCAGTTCATCTAGACTGGCCAAGGGGTTGGATGGAGGAAGTCCAGTGTGTGCTTGACACTTCATAGTGTGTCCTTATAATATCTTCTCTTGGAATAAAAGCAACATCTGTACATATTAAATCTCTGCCAAACATGGTAATAAAATTTTTTAAGATGAGAGACGAGGAAACATAAAAGCAAAATGTGAGACAAGACCATCTACAATATAATATATATATATATAATAGTATCTAAAGTGTTTGACATTAAGTTGTGTTAAAATAGTTATCTCCTTAGAGAGAGACAGTTGAACATGACACGAGAAAGTACCAGGAGTTAACTGGGAGTATTTAGTGTTCGGTAGTCACATGTGAGATCGTTCTGTCTCAGCGGAAGGCAGCAGTGGTCGTGGCAGGGTCTATAGCAGTGGGGTCGTGGTGGTGCGTTTGGGCCTAGACTCAGGGTTCCTGCACAGGCTGAGGGAGAAGCGAGGACCCCATCTCTGTGACTGCAGTTTCCCTCCTGAGACCGAGGGAGTGTGACTGTAACCAGGATCAGTAGACACAGTGTGTCAGTTCTCATGCCCAGGGTTTGAGCAGAGGCAGACAGAACACACTGTAGACTGTGCCTGAGAGCACCTGCATTTGAACAGGACCCCAGTTGGACAGAAGAGCACCTGCACACAGAAATACCTCCCGTGCACAGGTGTGTCCTTCTATCACCCTCTCTCCCATGGGTGTTCATTTCTTTTGAACTTCTTCTTACACTGTGTACACATAAAAATATGTGCTTCCTTTTTTCCTCTGGTTTTTCTCTTTTTTAAAAATTCATCCTTCCGCTGTGTGTGTGTGTGTGTGTGTGTGTGTGTGTGTGTGTGTGTGTGTGTATGCTGGAGCCACACCTAGCAATGCTCAGGGCTTCCTTCCAGCGTGGACTATGTGTTGCCAGGGATCAAACCTTCCAAACACATGTCCCAGCCCTTTGTGCTGTTTCTCCACCTTCATTTTTGTCTTAACACTTATCCAGTAGTAAGTGATAAGGTGCTCCCTGGGAAGCCTGAGTCGGTCCATGCCTACTCTGGTCCATGCATGCTAAGCACATTCCCAGTGGCTGACATTGGGGGTCCCCAGGAAAGGATGAAGTGTGCAACCTCTATGCGATGGGGAAGTCTGTGAGAGTGTGTGTGTGTGTAAGTGAATGCCCGTGAGCACCTTATCAGAGTAGTTGAGGGCCACAACTGAGTGTAAGCAGAATTAAGTGTGCAACCGAAGCACATTGCCACACTCAAATATGGGAATGAATATTTCAAAAGGGGAGTTAAAATGAAAGCACATGAACTCACGAACAGGCCTCACCCTAAAAGAAGTTCCTCAATTAATAAAAGTAAACTCTCAAAAGGCTGAAGTGATAGTCCAGGGGTCAAGGCACTTGCATTGCATGCTATTGCCTATGGCTGAGATCTCCTGCACCACAGGGTCCTTTGAACACCACATGTGTGACCTGGAGGCTTCAAGCAGTACCCAAGTCACTCCCAGCACTGCTGGCCCAAACTGCGCTTCCTTTCAGGCCTCGCACTCAGCCTCTGGCCCAGTTGGCCAAGAATCACTTTGAGGACCACCCCCTACACGCCCCACTTCCTGAACTCCATCTAAAATAAAAAACTAAACGATGAATTCACAGGAAGCTGGAACCAGCAGACTGCTTAAATGAGTTACACAAAACAGAAAAAGATTTGCAAACCTGGAGGTTTATGCTTGGTAAAAAACAACATATAGAAATGGCATCACAGGCCTTACTTCTGACAAACCTAATTAGCTGGAAAAGGAAAAATTACAAATTAAAACTGCAAGTCCCACAGTGATTCAAATTCACACAATAAAAGTATTCATGAGATGGAAAATCTTGATAAGATGGGAAGTGTACATCACCAAAGATGCGTCAGAATATTGACATTTACAACGGACCAAAACTCTTTTAAGCAAGAGTTTAAAGACTCAAGAAAAAAT